TTATGGAATCATCTAAAATAAGTTGTAGGCGGTGATTGAGACAGTGCCAAATAATAACATTTGGAAACATCTCTTTTATTCGTACGCTGACTCCAGATTTACAACCGAGCATTATGCTAGCACCGTCAGAACAGAATCCTATAAAATTCAGTTTTAAATAATTTGTATCAAGTCCAACAGCAAGTAATACACCCAACAAACTTTGAAAAATAGTATTCGCATCTTGTGCGTCAAGTTCCACAATATCTACGAATATTATTGAGGATATTTCAGAAGATGCTACTGTAGAAGATTCTACTTTGATAAAAACTATAAGCGTTGATTTACTGGAAATGGTGGAAGCTTCATCAATAACAGTACAAATTTTTAAATTATTCTTAATAATTGATGTAAACAATTTTTAGTTTCTTACGCGATATGCTCTACTATCTTACTTGCACTATGTCGAGAATGAAGTCCGGTTACCATGTTCAACCCGTTTTTTACTTGAAGCTCTAATACACTTTCTATGTCTGAAAACGGACGATTTCTTTTCGCTAGACTGTAAACAGTGTTGAAGATTCTTGTAGTAGAACTAATAAAATTTTCGTTCATCTTATAAATGCATGCTGTAAAAGTTTGTTTTTTAAGTATCTTGGCGTGTTCAACAGTCAGTTTATGTGCTTTTGATACAAAATGTTCACTCATTTTTTTTTCTTAAAGATGCTTGTTGCACTATTTTGTTTTTCCCTGATGTCGTAACGTTACATTTTATTCATTCCTGAGATATTAGTTTTGATTCCATTTTTAACAATACTCACATCCCAATTTCTGATTACTGAAAAATAGCCCATCATATTTAATTTTAAATTCCTTCAACTGTTTTGCATTCCAACTGCTTGGTAAATTATTATTGTCCTCATTTTGGGAACTAGGAATCTCTAGTATTTCTTCCTATAAAGTTCTTGAAACTGCTTCTACCTCTGTTATAGTCGACTTGCTATCATTACTTACTGATGTTTCCTCTCTTATTTTTTTCGAGAAATATGTGGTTAACACATTTTGTCTCTTCATCAACAAAAAATAAAAAAAGGTATTTAAAAATTCATAAAAAGGTGAATATCAGACCAGTAACCAAATAACATTAACACAAAGCTATATTTTTATTAAAGAATAATTATCAGAAATACATGTTAACAATTTGACACTCAAGGATTGAATTAAGGCATCGCGATTTGCGATATCTGTGAGATTATCTGGTCTTCAATGTTTCAGTTTATGGAAAACGACGAAGTTTACGGAATTAAGGCGAATAAACTTTAATTTGTTATTGAAAATGTTATGAAAAACAAAACAATAAATTTATGACTACCAAAGTAATAACAGTGTTGTTACTTTTATAACACTCTTTTACGTTACATTTATAGTTTGTTACATTTATAATTTATTTTTGATTAACAAATAATCAAGCTATTATAATTAAAAATAATTTAGTAAAGTAATTCCAAATTTTAATTAAAGTAGTAATGCAGCTAGAAAAAATACAATGGATATTTAAACAATGTTAAAAACCTCCGCAACTGTTACGATTACATATTTTTGATGCTACACGTGCATGTTAATGTTAGCATTTCTAAACTGTTACTAACGGTCCGGAAAAAACGTGTGTTAACTTTAAAATCAACCAATAAAAACACTGGTAATTTACATATTAGAAGAAATCTAAATAAAAAGGGGAGGGGAGGACCAATTAACTGAAACATTTCTGTAAAGTAAAAAATTAGAATTGCAAAAAAAAACTAAATAAAATATTCAAATTGTTTAAATAAAATTGCACCAAATGGTAAATAAATTTTATTTAAATAATTTTTTTGCCAAAGTAAAAAAATTTTATTTTCGCTTATTTTAATAGCGGTTCGCATCAACCATAGAATTTACATCTAACGGTTCGCACGAACCGGTGCGAACCAGTAGAAAAGCATCCCTGGTTAAAGCTACTACTTGCTTATCTTCAACTTTTGCGGCTATCCAACGTCTTTGGACATACTTACTATCTGAAAACAATTGTTGGTACACTCTTTTTGGATTATACGGTAAATGCTTTTCATCTGCATGGTTTAGCTAAACCATGTTATTTATTAATGCGACTTTTTTTTTTTGCGTTATGCATTGTCAGGAAGTCGTTTAAAGATCAAATTAACTATATCGGTATATTGAATTCTTTTCTTTTCTTTCTTGGGCACCGCTATACCTTATCTTAACCTTAAATAATATGTTAGATTTTGTAGCTGCCGTATTCTGTTCATTAGTCACTATAAATATTATAAACATTTTACTTATGAATGTATTTATTTAATATGTATTTACATAAGTACATCCAAGTACATATTTTTTATTTACTTTTGTGAAATATTAGTAAGATTAGCTCAGACTATCAATTAAGTATGTCAGTCGTAAAATAAAATACAACAAAACTAACACAAAATAACTTATAAAAAGCTGTTTTAATGTTTGGATGATGATAACTTTTTTTTTACGGTTACCCCACAACAATTTTATTATAGTTTGAATGTATTTTTAAAGGATATATATTTTGTAAAAACAATATATTTAACAATATAGTTATAAAAAGCACAATTATGGATCTTGAACATTAGTGACTACAAATATGGATCAGAATAGACACAATTATGGGTCAAAAAAATTTAGACGAATATGTTATTCTTTATTTAAGTTTTAAACTGGACAGCAGTAAAAAGTTAGTTTTTATTTGATTTATTTTTTTCAGATCTTTTCTTTTCATTTTTTTTTTAATAAACATTTGCTTCATAATGCTTCCTAAATTTAAAGTTATTATTAATATATAATTTTTTCTTCTTCATCAACTAAGTGTTATTTTTTTCTGTTTATTTTTTGTTAAATATATTTTAGCAGTTTTTGGTTAAAGGCAATCTTTTGTAATGGAAGTATATTTTGCTTATATTATAATGTAAAAAAAATTGTAACTAATACGTAGTTGTGAAAATATATACAAACAAAAAAAGCAAAATACAAGATTATCTATATATTTCTTAAAAACAAGATGCTGTAATAAAATCTGAACACCAAAAAAATTGTTGTTGTTTTTTTTATTGTGGGAAGGGGCTAAATTTTATGACAAATAATACTATTAACTTGCTGATTGCTGCTGAAAATTAAAAACTGTTTATACACTTATTATTATTTATTATTTTTTAGGAAAAGCTTAGCAAAAATTAATTAACTTTTTAAAAAAGTCTTTAGTAGCATCATAAGTTAAAATGCTCTAGTGACGTCATAAACTAAAATATTTTATTTAAAAAGTCTTCAGTGTCGCCCTAAACTAAAATGCACTAGTGGCGTATTTATTTGAAATGCTACAGTAGCGTCATAAACTGAAATGCTCCAGTGGCACCATAAACTGAAATACTCCAGTGATGTCATATATTGAAATGCTTTATTTAAAAATCTCTTAAGGCGTCATAAACTAAAATTCTTTTTAAATTAAAATGCAATCGTTTATTATAGACACTGAAATTAAACATAAAAGAAAAACTAAAACTAGTTTATAAATTGGACCATTTAAAAAAAACTGTTAGCTAAATATATGCATTCATTATTCAAACTTTACAACTTTATAAAACTTAAACTATTTTCTTCAAAACAAACAAAATCATTAAAAAAAAACAGTTTAAATTACAGTTTTGCAGCTTTCGCAATGAACGTTTATTCAAATTAATAATCACATTATTTATCCTTAGATAATTGTATGGAGAGTTGTTTCGTTTTATCAGATGTTTAGTTGATTTTTATCAGATGTTTAGTTGACTTTCATCAGATGTTTAGTTGACTTTCATCAGATGTTTAGTTGACTTTCATCAGATGTTTAGTTGACTTTCATCAGATGCTTAGTTGACTTTCATCAGATGTTTAGTTGACTTTCATCAGATGTTTAGTTGACTTTCATCAGATGTTTAGTTGACTTTCATCAGATGTTTAGTTGACTTTCATCAGATGTTTAGTTGACTTTCATCAGATGTTTAGTTGACTTTCATCAGATGTTTAGTTGACTTTTATTTTGTCAATTAATCAAAATAAGTATAAAAAGAGTAGGTGAAATGAAAAAAATTATAATTATAAACTTGTAAAGTGCTTTATTTAAAACCTCAGTTGATATATATATTCCTTTGAACCCCTTTATGATCCTTGCAGATAGTTATTTAAATAAAACGTTATCAGAGACTTTACATGCGCAGCTAAATCCACATTTAATGATCTTGTATATACCAAAATCAAACTTAAAAGTCAATGCATATGAAACCAGTTCTTAAATATAGAAAACGCATGCTTGAAGAAAAAGGCCCAAGAACCTTAAAGGACTACAATTTAGATTACTCTTTGAAAAATTTTTTTGGTTAAGCTTTGTATTTTTGATAATCACCTAATGCAGGATTGGACTGAACAAAAGCAACACAACAATAAGCAAAGATCGATTGTCAATGTAGCACTAGCTATAATTGGTTTTAACGTAAATGTTTTATCATTTTAATTTACCTCTCTAATTTAAGTTCAAAGCACACCTCGTAAATTTCCTGCAATATCAGTAGAAAAAAATTTTTAACCTTTGGTTTCTCTAGTTGCTAATTTCAATGGCAAAATATTGTAGTTTATTGACAAAACCATCATGTTAGATACAAAAATTGATATAAATGTCTGCCATCTCTTCTATCTGGCTTCAATATTGTCAAATTATTAGAGATCACTAAGATATCTGCTAATACTGGTGTTTAAATAGGGAAGAATATAATTGATTTTTTTCATTATTGGTTTTGCGTCAAGGAGTGGTTGCAGTTCTTTAATTTTTCACGACCGGCGGCAATACAGGATGTCATTTAACATGTTTTCCTTTCAAAAGTTCCATTTTATTACAGCATTTTATTTTGTTTTCAAACTTATCTGTGACAAATATTTACCTTTATTTCGGGTTTGGTTTTTTTATTTAGGTTTAAAAAGATGTCAAAAAGGATGGGTTTTAAATAAAGTTGGAAACAGCTGTGTTGGTAATTCTTTAAATATAATTTTCACCAATAAACAGTTGTTTTGAATTTTATTATTTTTATTAGTTTTAGTTTACGTTTTAAATCATTATCAGTAAAATAAATTTGTATCACTTTGTTTCAAAAGATGAATATAAGAAACTATAAGACTCGAAAGCATAAACTTAAAAAACATTCGATACAATAATATTGGATGACAAACTTTCGTTTAAATACCTAAACATATTTTTTTTTAAATAAAATAAATGTTTTATTGAAATATTTAGTTGAAGTTTTTGTAAGCTATACAATTTATTTGTAACTAGTATTATTTATATGTCTTATTATAATCAACCCTCGTAATTAGGGTCAATACCAACCTAATGCTGATCTGAAAGTATTTAAGGTCGGCAATTTTTTGCCGACCTTGTTTTTATGTTTTGCGGTCAGATTATTGTATCAAATAATTTTTGCAGACCTGATGCCAACCTAAAAAAGATTAGCAATAATTTGCCGACCTTATTTTTCCTAATTCCGAGAGTTGTATAACTATATACAAAAAAAAAAAGTAATTTGCACACTAAAGTAAAAACATTTAAAACAAAAATAAACCAAAGATATGCCAATAGTTTGGAATAAAATCAAAATGACTTCTCTTTTTGTAGACCAGCTAAAATTTGTAGTGAGGAATTTTATAATGATTTCTGTTATTTTAATCTTGATTCAACTTTTAATTATATTAAGCAAAATATTTTACATTGGAAGATCAACTATCATTTATGTGAATTATTTAATTATCAATAACACACTTAAAGTTGATTGTCTACTTTTTGAAAAAGGTATTTTAGTCTGAGATATTGTGAATAAAGTAACCACCTAAAATGTAATTTTTATAAACTTTTAAACATTTTATTTGGAGCATGTTGTGTTAAAAGCTTGAAAAAATCACATATATTAATATAATTAAAACGAAATTTTTCATAATAAAATACTTTATTAAGATTATGATGAGTGCAAAAGCTTGAATCCCCCATGTTCGTGGAAAAACAGCGTATGTATAAATACAAATGGAAGCTATAATTGTTCTTGTATGAAGGGATGGTTTTTGGATGGTGAAAGCTGCTTGGGTGAGTGATTTAGAAAAAAGTTCTTTTAAGGATATGTTCTTTTTTAGTGTTTTTACAGATTGTTAATGAAATAAAGATATTTTCTTAAATGTGTTACTCTTGAAATTTAATTCTAAAAAGCATTCAAATTCATTACACTTATGTTTATTTTTTTGTTTTCGCATATTTATAGAGACAGTTTGTGAAGAGTGTAATATTTTGACATTGTTACATTATTGACAAGCTGTAACATGTAATTTTTTATTATGAATATCATATACTTCCATTGTATGATATTCGTTTTTAGTAGCATTTTGAACCATAGATACGGCTAAAACAATAATCTCAATACTTGATTGAACCAAAAGTAAATAATTTGTTTGAAATATTTATAAAAAAAGAGAAAAGTAAAATACTTTTTACAATGTGCAATCTGAAAAAAAATTTGTGTGTTAAAAATATTACATTCTTTGTAGAATTTTTATTTTTTTAAGATCATGATGAGTGTAATAATACAAATCCTCCTTGCCCTTGGAACCGTGGAGTTTGCCAAAATCTTAATGGTAGTTATTTGTGCACTTGTTTGAATGGGTGGCAATTAGGTTTCGATAATGTTAGCTGTGTGGGTAAGTTTATTTTTAAATTTTATTCTAAATACTTTTTATAAATCATGATTTTTTTAATACTTATTGTGTCAACTGATTTTTTAAAATCATGCTTAAAATAAAAAGTTTTCGATTAGTAAATTTTAACAACATATACTATAAATTGTTAAAATTAAAATACATTAAAATATAATTAAATAGATTTTATTATTTTTATTATACAGTTAAATTTATTATGTATGACTACTGGTACTTTAACTCTGTGTTTTCTTCATGCCCTCTACTAATTTAAAAAACTCACTTTATATAAACTTATATTATTTTAGTGAATTCAGTTTTAATTTTTATATCAGCATAGTAAGATAAAGAAGTCAATAAGGTGCAGCAGTGTATTGGCTTTGTAGGTGAGGAGTACAGAGTTTGAAGCAACTTGGTACCTGTAAATGGTGCCTTTAGTCCCTGTTAGTATTGCACTGAACTATTTCTCTGCATTACAACCTTGTTCCTTATTAACATTATAGAGATGCAGGTTAGAAATAGTTGTAACAAATTGAAAAAAATAACCTTATAATAAATGAATAGTTGATTTGTCTTTATTGTCAACTAATTTTAGAGTGGAATGCAAGCAGCGAACTTGAGTGAAGTTCAACTTGAACTTTAATGGCTGATTTTTTCAAGTTAAAAAACTTGAGCAAATGTATAAACGAAACATGAAAACTTCAAGATTGCGCCTGAGAAAGTCAAACTTGAAAAATTTAATAGACGTTGATTTGAAAGCGCTAAAGAAAAAAAAACTTTGCAACCAATAGCGGCAAAGTATTTGAGAAGGAAAACCGTTTTAAATAAAGCAAATTAACGTCATATATTGCTATGCGGTTATCAGCAAAACATATATGTTGAACACAAAGTTTTATTACTCAATGTTATTTATAAAATTTTCATTAAAAAAAATAAATATGTATATATTTAACAAAGCTGCAGGGAAATATTTATAGGTAATAGAAAATTAATTTAAAATTATGACAACAGTTTTCAATACCAGGAATATAATATTTATAAAGATAGAAAAGACGAATATAATGTTTATAAAGATAGAAAAAAAATCAGTAGAAAAAAAATGATTAATACAAGTTAGATTTTATTTTAAGGTACAAAACTTACTTTTGTGCAACGGTTAACAAGTCTGCAATTGAACTATAAGGTCAAAATCTGTATAGATTAAAGGCGTATCAAGCGTTTTATGTTCATTGAGATCCAAACATTTATATGTTTAAACTTATTTTAAATAAGGATGCATAAAAATTGCCTCTCCCTAACCCTAACCCTAACCCTATCCCTAACCCTAACCCTAACCCTGATAAATATATTTGATTGAAGTGATCGGACGTGTTTTTGCAGCGTGGAATTATTTGTTATTTTGATTCTTTTTATTTTTAGTTTTTTTATTTTATTTTTTTTTAACAAACTACACTAATAATAAATTTTTGATATGGATACTAAAAGTATTGAAGTACTTGTTGCTGGTTTACTTGAGAAACATAAAAATTCCAACTTAGATGAAACAAAAAAACTTTTAAAAAAACAAGAAAAGAGTTTTGCATCCTTAACAGCTGCAAACTTTAAAATGTTAACAGGAAGGCTGAATGAATATGAAAAAGATAATATAAATAATCTTCAAAAGATTAGCAAAATTGAAAATGATTTAGAGATAACAACTAAAAAAGTAATCTCTCTTGAGGCTGACTTTACGGAATTAAAGAAATACATAACGACCAGTGATCAAATTGCTACTGAGAAATTCGAGGTAGTAAAAAAGAAAACTAAAGAAATAAATAGTAAAATAAGGGATAAAAGTGAGTTATTAAAGGTAAAAAGCAAACTAAGAGAAATTGAAGATAGATCGAGAAGGAATAACCTGAGAATCGACGGTTTAAAAGAAAATGATAATGAAAGTTGGAGCAATAGTGAAGAAAAAGTGTTGAAGCTATTTGAAGAATCACTTGGACTGAAAGAAATTAAAATTGAAAGAACTCACAGAACTGGAATCAGAGACGGCAAAAAAGTAAGATCTAAAGTACTAAAATTACTAAATTATAAAGATAAAGAAAGAATCCTAAAAAATTCTTCAAAACTAAAAGGCAAAAACATATATATAAATGAGGATTATTGTGCGGAGACGGTACAAATAAGAAAAGAATTACGGATGGAAATGAAAAAAGCTCGAGAAGGTGGGAAATTCGCGTTTATATCATACGACAAGTTGATTGTAGGAGAATGGTCTCCAAAAGAAAAGTAAATATTTTATGTTTCTTCTAGCTTAAGGTGGTACACCACCAAATATTCTAAAATGTTCAAACTTAGAAAAAAACAGATGAATTTTTTGTTAATTAAAGTTTCATCAATTTAGAATGCTATTTTAAACTTCATTTTACATTGCCTCGATTACTTTGCCTCGAATTTATCGAAAAACATTCATTTTAATGGGTCCATTCAAAACACGATAACTTGAAATATATTAACACAACATCGATGAAATTTTTTACATATGTTCTAGACATGTAAGGTAAGGTATTGACATTTGGATTTTAAAATATTCCAAGTACATAAAAAATTATATGAATTTTTTTACATCAAGTAAAAAAAAAAACTTTTTTAGACCTTAAAATTAAAAAAAAAAAATGATTGGAGCAGAATTTTAAAATTTCGAAATGTCATTCCCTAGAGAATAGTATAATAAACATTTCCTGAAAATTTGGAGTGATTAGCACTTCTGCTTCTCAAGATATCATGTTTACAATCAGACAATGTTTCGCAAAAGTTGAAAACGGAGAAAAACGCAAAAGAAGATTAAATATTCTTATCATTCCTATATAATTTTTTTTTAGTTAGTGAACTTATTAAAAAATTAAAAGATATATTGGGAATAAGCTTTTTATATTATTAATCTACAATAAATTGTCTATAAAATGAGCGAAATATCAAAAATTCACTTTTTTTTTCAGTTTTCAGAAAATATTTGGTGTTGTACCACCTTAACGGTACCTTTTATTTTTCCTTTTTTTTATATATATGATTTAGATTGCTATTATATTCTACTTTTTTAAAAATGGATGATAATCTTTTATTAAATTTGAATACTGAGAGTGATGATGACTATTTCAATAAAAAAAACTTTGAAAGTGAGTATTATTCAATCCGTGAAGCTACTCATTTTTTGTGTCAAAAAAATAAAATAAATAGTTTTTCAATTTTAAATTTGAACATTCGAAGTATCAATAAAAATTTTGATAATCTAAAATTATTATTGCATGATCTAAATCATGATTTTCAAGTAATTACTCTCACGGAAACGTGGTTGAAAAGCAATGAAAAAAACTATAATTATGAGCTAAGTAATTACGTGTCAGTCCACCAACCGCGTCAAAACCACGTTGTCGGTGGTGGTTTAAGTATCTTTGTTCACAAATCTATTAACTTTGAATTGCGTAACGACCTCAGTGTTAACGAAACAGATTGTGAGTCGTTATGCATTGAAATAAATAATAAAGCGACCAAAAATATAAATATTAGTTCTATTTATAGAAAGCCATCTGGTAATTTAAAAAAGTTTCATACCTATCTAAAAACATTTTTAAGCAAAATTAACATTACAAAGAAACACGTGTACTTAACTGGTAATTATAATTTAAACTTGTTAAATCATGCTTCAAATCTAAATGTTCAATGCTTTTTAGATACACTTATACAATACAATATCATTCCCACTATAAATAAGTCGACGAGAATAACTAAGACTTCGTCGACCTTACTAGATAACATATTTACTAATAATTTTCATAATTGCCCTTTAGAATCGGGTATAATTAAAACTGACATAACAGATCAATACCCAATATTCTTAACTACAGATAATATAACCCTTAATCATTCTGTCTCTAAATCAACAATATCAATGCGACAAATTAATAAAAACTCCATAATATATTTTCGAAATCTTTTATCTGAAAAAACTAATTGGGATCTTATATTACAATCGCAAGATGTGAGTAATGCGAATGAATTATTTTTGGCGCAGTTTTGTAAATACTATGATTTGGCATTTCCAGTTATAAAAAAAATTATAAATCCTAAATCACTTTTAAACCCTTGGATGACCAAAGGTTTACTCAACTCATCAAAGAGGAAACAAAACCTTTATGAAAAATATTTAAAACATAAAACATATAAAAATGAAACAAAATATAAAAATTATAAAAATTTGTGTGAAAAAATAAAGAAACAATCTAAAAAAAATTATTATGCAAAATTGCTTGAAAAAACACATGGAAATACACAAAAGACGTAGAATGTAATTAAGCAGATAATCGGTACAAATAAATGTCAAAATAATAAATTGCCAGAAAAACTTTTAGTTGACGGGGATATAATTTATAATAAAGAAGTCATAATTAACAAGCTCAACAAATTTTTTCTTGGTATTGGACCAAAATTAGCTGATAAAATTCCAAAAACCAACTCAAACAACTTCGAATCTTATATAAATACACCCAACACATCTATGATAGAATCTAATTTAAACTTAAGTGAGATGCGCAATGCTTTCAACTGTCTAAAAAATAATAAATGTGCGGGCATTGATAAAATTAGCGTAAATGTAGTTAAAGCTGTGTTTGATATTATTAAACCATCACTGTTTTACATTTTTAATCTTTCTTTAAAATCCGGTATTGTACCGGAGAAATTAAAAATTGCTAATATTATACCTATTTTTAAAAATGGCGATGATACAAATATGTCCAATTATAGACCTATTTCTGTCTTACCATGTTTCTCTAAATTGTTAGAACGAATTATGTATGATAGACTTAACAACTATTTAACTGAGAACAATATTCTGTATAATAAACAATTTGGGTTTAAAAAAATTCATTCAACGGACCATGCAGTGGTCGATCTAATAAATTATGTATCCAATGGGTTCAATAATGATTGCTATACATTAGGAGTTTTTATTGATTTGT